GTTGAAGAACAAGAAAAACCTTACATCCATCTACAGTTGCGTGTGTTTGTAAAGATTGTGTGCCGCAACCTTTTTCTGCAATTTTTTTTAAAGCGAAGATGAAAATAAACAAGATAAGTTTTATTTTTAGCACACATTTAGGAAATAAAAAATGCGAAGGGAAAGGTCGAAAACAAAGTTGCATTGTTGGCTGATTTTTGAATTATATAAAACTTTTTTTTATTAAAAAGCATGATTCAGGATATAATTTATGTTAGCGGCCAAACAAACAAAGAAAACATCTTTTTTGTAGTAACAATTTATGTTGTTATAAACTCTACGGTAGTTTCGATTCACGCATCACGGTAGACACAATTAAAATTATTTTTTTACTTTTTAATTTTACATTTTATTGCATACTTTATGGAGTTTCGAAGAATTTTTTAAACTTTAAAGTATCGCAGGTAGATGCATCAACGCTTAGGAACATCAATATGTCAAAAATTTTAAAATGTTTTGTCAAAAATAAGTTCTTTTTTATATGTTTTCTTATACGACAAATATCGGAGTTTGTTTTGATATGCATTTTTCAACTATTTTTACAAATTTTCATCATTTTCCACTCATTTTCGGCTTAACCTTAGTTTAGTAAAAACTCTTCAATTTTTCCAGTATTAGGTATTTTAACCCTGATCCCGGGAAACTATTATTTTCTTGGGGCGAACCCAGGATTAAAGTTGTTCCAAATTTTCAATTCCAAAATTTGTTTCACAGTTCATTGTGCCAGCAGCTGTGTCGATATGACTACATGTATTCTTCTACATGAGTATTTCTAAAAATACGTCTTTTTATTTATTCTATACTAGTAGTAAACTGCATTAATTTATGCAATAAAGATTTAAAAATGCTTGGTGCGTCTAAAAGTATGCTTTAAAAATGTTACAGTCACCTTCCATATGACCCTGACAATAATGTATATCCTGGCCATAATGGTTTACGAATGGATTCAATGATACTTAAAATACACATACAATATTAACACATTATGAATAGAAATTATTAAGGATCGTAATTTTTAAAAATCTTTTCTAAACACCGCTGAATCAACTAAAGTTTAAGTTAAAGAAACGGGAGATGGTCACGCTTATTGCGTAGGATGTAATGCACATCCATTTGATCCATAGATTTTTGTTCGATTCGCCTTGACATGGCTGTTCGATTTCAAAAAACTATGTGGCTTAAATGTTCTCCTTGTTCATGCGTCACCATTCGTACTTCATAGCAAAAAAAGTTCCATTTTTGTAATATGCATTGAAATGCATTATGTAACGAATATTTCCCCTTCAAATATCAAATGTTATTTTTATACTTTTCATTCGTCTTTTTCATTTTTTTGAAAATGTTCCTTTATCAAACAAGTTATATGTGCTAGAAGCGGATTTTTTATGCAAGAAACGTGTTAGAAATAAAATTTCTGAGAGCAAACAACGCGATTCAAACGGTTTACCGGATTTAGGACTTAAATTATACTGAAGGAAATCAAACCGGCAAAATCTTCGGCTTAAACTTAGTTTAAGAAAAACTCTTCGATTTTATCGATTTAGAAAATTTAGAAAACTTTGGTTCCCGTTAGCCTGTGTCCAGAGGAAAAAAGGTAAAGTCCTTTTAGAAGACCAGCTACTTACAACTTTTAAATTAAATTAAAATAAAAACATTAGTTCGCGTAGCTGGTTTGAACGTACCAGGAAGAGAATACCTCTGGACCCGAAAAAGGTATTATCACATATTGCAGCATTTTGGAAAGGTAAGAGTGTCAGCAATAATTTGGCGTCAATTTAGTTGTCCCCCATAATGGGTCCTTTTCGACTTTTTGGGGTTTTTATAAAAAACACGGGTCCTAAAAATCAATATCTGGTCAGAGATTCGGGTCAAAAATCTGGATTCCTGGGTCCGTCCCCAAGAAAAAATAGTTCTCCAGAATCAGGGTAAAAATAACTAGCTCTGGAAAAAATTTCGAAAAAAAGAGTTTTTACTAAACTAGAGATGTTCCAAAACCTCTAAGCCATTTTTTTGGCTTAAATGAAGTTTGGCTCCAGCTGGTGGAAAATTCTGAAATTTTTTCCGAAGGTAGGTCTTGTTATCCTAAACTCAGTTTGTTCTCTTATTTTACCCACTCCTTATATAATATCATTATTTATTGTTTAGTCGCATTAAGAATAACGACATCCATGACAATAGGTGATTTATTGCATAAATTACTACCACAAGGCTTTAAAACAGATCTTGGAACAACTCTAGTTTAGTAAAAACTCTTAGATTTTTTCGAAATTTTTTCCAGAGGTAGGTATTTTTACCCTGATCCCGGGAAACTATTTTTTTCTTGGGGGACGGACCCGGGACCCCAGATTTTTGACCCAAAAGTCCGGGATCAAGATCCCGCCTGGACCCGGATCCACTTACCCGATATAGACAATATGGGTATCGATTGAAAGGAAATACCTATCCAACAAGTGGTCACATGAAGGGGTAAGTTTTCATGGTTCGGAAGTTATAGTCAAATTATCGATTTTTTGGACCCGGATTTTTTATGAAACCCCCAAAAAGTCAAAAAAGGGCCCATTATGGGGGTCAACAAAATTGTTTCCAAATTATAGCTGACACTCTTACCTTTCCAAAATGCTACAATTTGTGCTAATACCTTTTTCGGTTCCAGAGATATGGGTCTTTCCATCCGCATAACCCGATTCTAACCAGTTCATTAAAATTATGTTTTTAATAAAAAAAGTGTTTATTTCGCGTAGCAGTCGTCGGAATAACAAAAGTTTTCTAAATTTGGCACTTTTTGTAAATAGCCGGCCTTCGGCCGGGGCTTGAGATTTTCACCTATGGGTATGTCCGACCCCGGCTAACGCGAACAAAAGGTTCATAATTTCGGCACTCTTTGTAAATAGCGGGCCTTCGGCCGGGGCTTGAGATTTTCTCCTCTGGGTATGTCCTACACCGGCTAACGCGAACCAAAGTTTTCTAAATTGGATACCTTTTGTAAGTAGCCGGCCTTCGGCCGGGGCTTGAGATTTTCTCCTCTGGGTATGTCCTAAACCGGCTAACGCGAACCAAAGTTTTCTAAATTTGACACTTTTTGTATATAGCCGGCCTTCGGCCGGAGCTTGAGATTTTCTCCTCTGGGTATGTCCCACACCGGCTAACGCGAACCAAAGTTTTCTAAATTTGACACTTTTTGTAAATAGCCGGCCTTCGGCCGGGGCTTGAGATTTTCTTCTCTGGGTATGTCCCACACCGACTAACGCGAACCAAAGTTTTCTAAATTGGATACCTTTTGTAAGTAGCCGGCCTTCGGCCGGGGCTTGAGATTTTCTCCTCTGGGTATGTCCTACACCGGCTAACGCGAACCAAAGATTTCTGAATTTCATTCTTACGCAAAATATACCTTTTTTATTGAAAACATAGTTTTAATGAACTGGTTAGAATCGGGTTATGCGGATGGAAAGACCCATATCTCTGGACTCAGTAAAGGTATTAGCACAAATTGAACCTTTTTGGAAAGGTAGAAGTGTCAGCTATAATTTGGCATCAATTTTGTTGTCCCCCATAATGGACCCTTTTTTGACTTTTTGGGGGTTTTATAAAAAATCCGGGTCCAAAAAATCGATAATTTGACTATAACTTCCGAACCGTAAGATCTTACCCCATCATGTGACCACTTGTTGGATAGGTATTTTCATAAGCTTTCCAACGATACCCACTTTCGGGTCAAAAATCTGGGGTCCCAGGTCCGTCCCCCAAGAAAAAATAGTTTCCCGGGATCATGGTTAAAATACCTACCACTGAAAAAATTTTCGAAAAAATTGAAGAGTTTTTACTAAACTAGAGTTAAGCCCAGATCTTAATTCACGTATTATTAAATTGAAATATTAAATACACATAACTTTTGAAACCAATTATGTTTTGAGTACACTCAATAAAAATAAAGAGAAAAAACATTTTCCCAACACAATTCATATTTGTCTATTCACAAATATTTCAAATTGCAAAAAAACAGCGACAATCTATAAATAAAGCCGTACAACGGAATGGCGCTAAATAATTATAAATGTTCGACACTAAAGACACAGACCCACACAAAACGAGTCAAGGTAGCTACAACTGCTGATCGATCATCCATTGTCGCTGACGCAGCACCTAAATTTTTTTTGCACAAACCAAATCACAACAAAAAAATTACCGAATGAAAAAACATGTGCTTTCTTTCCTTTAATTCTGTTAGCCTGCATCATAAACACAACTTACAATTACGAAATGGATCTCAATTAAAAATACACGCAATCACTCACTCACATACACACACACTCAAATAGGCAACAAAATAAGAGATAAAAAATACCGCGCGCACTGCATGTGTCAACACTACACCATCAGCAGCAGCAACCAGCCAACAAACCAACTAGCTGCCACCGATAGCCATACACACCGAATGTCAAAGAAAACAAAGTAGGCGAATTTACCCAAAAATATGTTTGTACGCTTAAGCACTCGTTACTGTTACGGGTTAAGTGAATGTGTGTATTCATGATTCGAAGAGAGTAACGGAGAGCGAGACAGAATGTATTGTGTGCGTGTGTGTCCGTGCAAATTTCTTGACAACGAACTAGTGGAGATAAAACCAACTAACAACTCGGCGAATCGGCGCTGACAAAACGCAAAAAACACACACAACTTTGTATACACATACATATTTTTATTAAAGGGAAATGTATGTGAATGCATAAAAATATGTATAAAGCGCACCATACTTTAATATTGGTCACTTCTCAACTTAAAGAAACACACACATTTTCCTCAATTAAAGTAGCAATGCGCTTACAATTATTAGATAGATTCGTTGGCAGCCATTCACTGCCCGCACCCAGCCAGCAAGGCAGTTAATATTGAAACTCCATCAAACCCGATTCTATTTGTTTAATTACTGTACTTTTTCAATCACATTTTTTCCAGAAACTCACCGCACTCAAGAAACGAGCGAACGAATCGAATGGTTGGGGAAACAAAAACTTTCACAATTTACTTTTTCTTTTCGTATTTTTTCAGATGGAAAACAAATCAACAACAACAATAGCACACTTGTTAAAAAAACGACAACGACGATTTAATAAAAACAATTTTTAAACATTAAATTTCTGGTTGCTTTCCACTTTTCTATGCTTCTTCGGCAGGGGTCTTTCGCTGTTGTATGTATGCGTGTTTGTGTTACTTTTTCGTTCGAGTTTTTTCTTTGTCGCGCGGCGGCTACTCATCAGGCAGCAGAACGTAAAAGAAAATGCTGTTTTTGCTTTTCACAATTTTATTGCGAGTATTTCATTGAAATCACTTGTGCTCCATCAGCCTTTGATTATTTACACAACTCTGACATATTTTATAGCAAATTTTTTTCAGAAAATACACAAAAATTTCCGATTTTTATTATCTTTAAGCAACGCGTCCATAAAAATTCCAACTTTACACTCGTATATTTCAAAATGGCGGAAAATGTTATAGAAATCAACGAACAACACGGCAACTTTTCTGGTTTAGTACAATTAATGACGCCGATTGCAACCAATTCGCCACTCTCTACATCTTACTCGTCCGCTTGCTTTAGATTCTTTCTATCAACCAAAACACATCTTTGCTGCTGATGAAATTCCTTTCATTTCAACTGATTATATTTGCACATTTTAAATATGTATATGTAAAATAATTACACTTTGTTGATGAAAAATCGAAGCTAGGTTATAACAAATTACCATAAACTTATTTTTCGTGTTTTTTAAGTTGTATTTTCTGTAGATACCCGTAAAATGTAGTGCGGTGTCAATATACGAAATAAAAATGTCTGCATGTACTAGAGTAGGGATAGGTAACTCGACTTTCGATTAATCGATTTTTAGTACTCACTGTACTGTCGACTATGGACTGTGGTGAAAACCGATTAATCGACTATTTATGATCGATGTGCGACTCATTGGCGCATAAAGGTGAGAGCACATAAACAGCTTGACATATCATAAGCAATGCCAGAGCCGCACTCAAATTCTGCTGCCGTTTCCCTTTATATAAATTTATTTTAGTAAAAGTTTAATGGAAATCGAGGAGCAAGTTGAGTTTAGGGGCTATGCTCGGATCATTTTGAAATTTTTACCGCAGGTAGGTATTTGTAACCTGATTACGGCAATGTAATTTTTTTGTGGGGGAAATACCCGGTTACCCGGTTATTCGACCCAAAAGTTCGAATATAACATCCGGTTTGTATCCGGTTCTACGTAACCGATATCAATAAAATGGGTATCATTTGAAAGCTTATGAAAATACCTATCCAACAAGTGGTCATATGACGGGGTTGCTGGAACCGGTTTCGGAGAAATTTAGGAAAATTTGCATTTTTGTATGAGTACTTTTTGAAAAACCCATAAAAACTCGAAAATGGACCCATTATAGGGTCTTAAAATCTATACACTATATTATAGCTAACACTATTGCCTTTCCAAAATGGTGTCATATGTGTTGATATCTTTTGTGGTTCCGTGGATATAAGAGGTAGAATTCATTAAATTATATTTTTCTCCAGTCTAGATGCATTTGACTTTGACCTTTATAGCTTTTTTAAGCAACCGGCCTTCGGCCGGGGCTTAAGATTTTCTCCTCTGGGGTATGTCCAACACCGGCTACGCGATCCATAGTTTTTCTAAAAATTGTACATTTTGTAAGTAGCCGGCCTTCGGCCGGGGCTTAAGATTTTCTCCTCTAGGGTATGTCCAACACCGGCTACGCGATCCATAGTTTTTCTAAAAATTGTAATTTTTGTAAGTAGCCGGCCTTCGGCCGGGGCTTAAGATTTTCTCCTCTAGGGTATGTCCAACACCAGCTACGCGATCCATAGTTTTTCTAAAAATTGTAATTTTTGTAAGTAGCCGGCCTTCGGCCGGGGCTTAAGATTTTCTCCTCTGGGGTATGTCCAACACCGGCTACGCGATCAATAGTTTCCTAAAAACTGTAGTTTTCGAAAGTAGCCGGCCTTCGGCCGGGGCTTAAGATTTTCTCCTCTGGGGTATGTCCAACACCGGCTACGCGATCCATAGTTTTTCTAAAAATTGTAATTTTTGTAAGTAGCCGGCCTTCGGCCGGGGCTTAAGATTTTCTCCTCTGGGATATGTCCAACACCGACTACGCGATCCATAATATTCTAACAACACCAAATTAAAAACAAAGCAGATTAACAAGAACGTTAAACCCGACACAAAACTTGGGTTCACTCAAACTGCTTTCATAAGTAACGACTTTAAAAGTCAATATCTTCGGAACTACAAAAGATATCAACACATATGACACCATTTTGGAAAGGCAATAGTGTTAGCTATAATATTGTGTATAGATTTTAAGACCCTATAATGGGTCCATTTTCGAGTTTTTATGGGTTTTTCAAAAATTACTCATACAAAAATGCACATTTTCCTAAATTTCTCCGAAACAGGTTCCAATTACCCCGTCATATGACCACTTGTTGGATAGATATTTTCATAAGCTTTCAAATGATACCCATATTATTGATATCGGTTACGTAGAACCGGATATAAACCGGATGTTGTATCCGAACTTTTGGGTCGAATAACCGGGTAACCGGGTATTTCCCCCACAAAAAAATTATATTGCCGTAATCAGGTTACAAATACCTACCTGCGGTAAAAATTTCAGGTCAATCCAAGCATAGCCCCTAAACTCAACTTATGCCGAAATCGATATGGAATATATAGTTTTCATAGGTTAGTATCAACCGATTTCAAATTAAAACCGCTCTAAAGCCTTAATACACAATTAATCTGCTACAGATGACTCTACATGACGACTTTTTTAATGTTGCCATGTATTTTGAGGTGATGCCATGGCAGAAAAATACAGGTAGATGCATCAACGGGAGCATTGATATGTCAAAAAATTTAAATGTTTTTTTTTTTTCAAATATAAGTAGATTTTTATATACTTTCTTATACTACGTCAATCGGGGGCTATTATAATTCGCGTTTTTCAACAATTTTTACAAATTTAAATAGTTTTTCATTCAACATTTTCAATTCCAAAATTGGTTTGACAGTTCATTGTCCAAGCAGCTGTGTCGACGCGTCTACCTATATTCTTCTACCATGGGTGATGCCAACAACGATGGAAGAATTTGGTAATGCTAACTACAAACCATGGTAGAAGAATTCAGGTAGATGACGATAGAAGAACTACTAAATATGGGATTCTCTTGGTATGTTCTAGAAATTCAAAAATGTAGAAGTTTTTACTACAGCAACCTATTTTCCCGTTTATGATATCGAACAAAATTTCAAAAGTTCTTGCAGGTACGGGAACAGGACAAATTATTACAGGCAGCAGGAAACCCCAGCTGACTTGACTCTACAGTAATACCAGTGTCAAATTCGATAATGACGTTTTTGATATAATTCCCTTTTTGGACATAAAAAAGATTCTTGCAGGAATCTACAAGATTTGCAAGGATATCATAAAGGAAAAATCGTTTATCGTAGTAAACTTTATCTTGTAAGTTCTGAAATAGAGCAGTAGTTTTCATGTCTTCATAGGAAATTATGAAAATCCCCATGATCTTTGCCGTAGATTCGCCAGCCAACAAGACAGTCACATCTGAATTTAAAGTCGACGTCGAGGTCGAGATTTGTTTCCAGCCGCCGTGACATTGCCAGAATCCATCAGCGTGGAGAATCCAATACACAAGGCATGTCCAGCCATGGTAGAAGAATACAGGTAGATGCATTAACGCTTGTGAACATTGATATGTCAAAATTTTTAGGATTATTTTGAAAATAAGTAATTTTTTATAAGTTTTCTTATACGACGCCAATCAAAGGTTGTGATAAATAATATGAATTTTCAACAATTTTTTAAAAAAATTAAATAATTTTTCATTCGAAATTTTCAATTTAAAATTTGGTTTGACAGTTTAATGCCCCAGCAGCTGTGGCGATGCGATTGCCTGTATTCTGTTACCATGTCCAGCTATGTGAATGTATATTTTCTTGTGTATATGTTTATCTAGTTTTAACAAAGCGGTTTACATGGTATTAACCTGGAAACCATGGCAAAACAATAAAGGTAAACTCATTTGCTAATTTTAAATGGCAACCCTTTTCCGAATAACTCGACCCTGTCATTTTCTTAAATAAAATCTATTTTCATATCTAAGGCAGAAATAAATAAAATATTTTTTGGCATTCCTTTTTAAATATACACGTATCATATCTTAGGAATACTAAGTTTATTTATCTGTCCTTGGACTTAAACATATAAATATAAAGATTTCAACCCCTTTATCTTATGAAACGTTTTCGGTGATGTTAGTTCTTGTGTAGGCCTCGAACGACGTTTTATTTAAGGATCAAACCCCCAGATTTACCAGCTGGAAAATGTTGCCAAAATCTTAACAGCACTCAAACGGAAACTTACGCTGACAATTTCTTGTAGCTAAATGTAACAAAATTCTTGATATTGTCTTCATACTTGTCCTAAGCGAACCCAAATTCAACCATTCCATAATTAAGTTTAATATGGCTCATCAGACTAACAGTACGTTTACATATAAAAGGGTTAACCCACTGGATTTGGATTAAAATTGTCATATCCATTACTTATACTTCAAATAAATCCTTTTAAAGTAGGTTAACCCTACAAAAAGTTCTAACGTAAACATTGCATAATATTTTAGTTTCCAGTTTTAAATTATCAGCCTGTTCCACGATCTCGAAAGAAAATTTGTGCGAACGAAGGCTACTCACTCACTTTCGTATAAGAATGCGTTCCACTAACTTTCGTTCTTTCTTTCGCATAGCCTTACGTGATTCAGTGTTGCTAAATATTTTTTTGGAAAAATTAATCGCGAAATAAAGCAAAAAAAAGCGTCAAATGTCTAATTTAAACGCGAAAAAGCAGCGGTTGCTCTGTCTCAACTGACAGTTCACTTGTAAACAAACAAATTGTAAATAAACAAACAAAATAAAATTTCTAGTGATTGTGTTCAAACTATTTGTGTTCTTAAAAAATAAAAAAAAAATGAATATTTCCGTAGCCCTATTTTTTATGGATAATGAGGGGGAGGTTCGAAATGTGCCACGGAGGCATTTAAGAGATGCTTCGAATTTATTTGAAGTACCTAACAACCAGTAAGTATGATTGTATTTTTACATTTTTGAAATAATAAAAAATGATTTTTTCTAGGTTTGTGGCCAACTTTCATGTGTCGAGGGAAGTTTTCGGGCTCTTTTGGATATGATGGAAGAGAAGTGGGTGCCCGGTTGCAGAACTACCCAAATCCGCCCCGATTTAAAACTTCTTCTGCTGCTTCCAAAAATTGGCATTCCTCTGGCGAACACAGGATTCTCCTCCATTTACTCAACTAGTGCCCGCAGCTGTGTAGTTGATGATTTTTTCGTGCTGGAATTGAGAAAATAAAAAAAATATATATTTGTTGTTCACATATTAAATTGCATTTATTATTTTTACAGCCTGTTCCACGATGTCGAAAGAACACGTTCGCACAACTTTTACACGACAAACAGCTGATTTCCGTTCCACTAAAATCCATCAGAACGAAAATTTGCACGAAAATCAAAGCGAACGAAAACGTAAGCGTTTCAGTGTAATTTTGCGTTCCACTATCTTTTTTCTTTCGTACGCATGCGAACACAAATGTCAAAATCAGTCACTTGTGTGTTTGCTGTCGAATGATAAAAATTAAGGAAAATTGTTTTAACATAAACATTTCTTGATTGAAAATGGAAAGAAAAATGTAAGTAAAAATAATAAATGCAATTTAATCTGTGAACAACAAATATATATTTTTTTATTTTCTCAATTCCAGCACGAAAAAACTACACAGCTGCGGGCAATAGTTGAGTATATGGGGGAGAATCCTAAGTTCGCCAGAGGAGTGCCAATTTTTGGAAGCAGCAGGCAATCCCATGAAGACCACTGGAAGACACAAACCTAGAAAAAATCATTTTTTTATTTTAAAAATGTAAAAATACAATCATACCTACTGGTTGTTAGGTACTTCAAATAAATTCGAAGCATCTCTTAAATGCCTCCGTGGCACAATTTGAACCTCCTCCTCATCATCCATAAAAAATAGGGCTACAGAAATATTCATTTTTTTCTTTTTTAAGAACACAAATAATCTGAACACAATCACTAGAAATTTTATTTTGTTTGTTTATTTACAATTTGTTTGTTTACAACTGAACTGTCAGTTGAGACAGAGCCACTGCTGCTTTTTCGCGTTTATATTAGACATTTGGCGCTTTTTTTTTTTGCCTTATTTCGCGATTAATTTTGCCAAAAAATATTTTGCAACACTGAATCACGTAAGGCTATGCGAAAGAAAGAACGAAAGTTAGTGGAACGCATTCTTATGCGAAAGTGAGTGAGTAGCCTTCGTTCGCACAAATTTTCTTTCGAGATCGTGGAACAGGCTGTTACTTACATTTTTGTTTCCATTTTCAATCAAGCAAAACTATTTTCCTTAATTGTTATCATACGACAGCAAACACACAAGTGACTGATTTTGACATTTGTGTTCGCATGCGTACGAAAGAAAAAAGATAGTGGAACGCAAAATTACACTGAAATGCTTACGTTTTCGTTCGCTTTGATTTTCGTGCAAATTTTCGTTCTGATAGATTTTAGTGGAACGGAAATCAGCTGTTTGTCGTGTAAAAGTTGTGCGAACGTGTTCTTTCGATATCGTGGAACTGGCTGTATATTTTTCTCTGACTTTTATACCCTTTAAAAGACGTGAAAATTAAAAAAATATTTGTTCGAATTTCTTACCAGGGGTACGCCCATAATCAATGAAGAACTATAAAATATACATTTGAAAATGTAGGGACAAAAAAAATTGTAATCGTATGAAATTACCTTGGTAATTGAACCATGCCTGGAACAAATCCAAAAAATTAATTTTTCAAAGCACCTACAAAGACATAAAAGTATAAAGATATTACAAGACATGGTAAAAATATGGCAACGCTGTAAAAATACCTCTGTTCTTATGATATCAAAACAATATAGTAAACATGGTAGAAGAATACAGGTAGTCGCTTCGACACAGATCCTGGAGCAATGAACTGTCAAACCGATTTTGGAATGGAAAATGTTGACTGAAAAGTTATTGACATTTGTAAAAATTGTTGAAAAATTCATATTATAAAAACCACCGATTTGCGCCGTATAAGAAAATATTTAAAAATATACTTATTTTTGATAAAACATTTAAAAAATTTTGACATATCAATGTTCTCAAGCGTTGATGCATATACATATATTATTCTACCATGATTGTAACCATAGCATAATTACAGAAGATAGGGGGGGTTTCTCCAATGTAAGAATTTTATTAAAAATGAAAAATAAATGAAACCAACTGTTGCATATTTAAAATTCTACTTGACAGTATAAGACTCCAGCACAGAGTTGCATTTTTCTAGTTTCATTGAAGTTGAGCAACCTTTCTTATTGAGCCATGATAGTAACCAATGTTAAGTGATTTAAACCGCTAAAGGTGAGGGTACATAAGCAGCTTGGCATCATGGTGAGGCATATTAGTGTCAATTTGTAAGGGAAAATGACGACAGGATTCGAGAGCGGCTCTGGCATCCCCTAATGATATGTCACAAAATATGCCATGCGAAGACTTCAAGCTGCTTATGTACAAACACATTAAGTCAATTAATTGAAAATGTTAATGAAATAAAATTTTGAAACAAAATGTTTGTGTTTTCCAAACTTTTATTTATCATTCTTTTCTAAAATTGTGGTTTTTATATTAAAATGCCTGTTTCATTAGCTGTTGTTGAAGATAGTATAGCCACAAACCATTTGCTCAACATGCATTTTGTCTAGTCGTTGTGAGGTTGTATCCACGTTGTGATCAGCGTGTTGTATTTAGCAATTTTAATCTTCTGGCTTGTACAATCATAAATGCTGGCTCGATTTCAGAAAAACATGACAAGTTTGGCAGAATTTGCTTACTTAGTAGCCTTTGTCTGGCTCCATAAAGCGTTGGACAGTGGCAGAGTAAGTGCTTCACCGTCTCGGTTTCCTCCTCGTCCTGACGCAGTATTCGGTGTCGTGACCTGTAATTAGGTCCACCATAAACTTTAGGTCAGGTTTCGTCAACGAGATGAGCGATCAACACCGTTCAGAGATAACCACCCATATTTTTTCCTTCCAATCAGCCAGTTCTGATGGGATCTCGCAAGGTAGTGCTTTTGTAATACTTGGAAGAAGTGACACAATGATGGCTTCACTGAGCTATCGATTTCTAGATCTACTGGCCTATTCATCTGCTGTTTCATTGCCGGATATGTTACAATAACTAGGGAGCCAACAAAGTTTGGCAGATCTTTTAAACTTTTTCAGAGCATTTCTGCATTCCAGAACAGCCATAGATTTGATTGTAACAGAATAAAGAACCGCTTGACCATAGACATATGTATATAGTCAACGGTCTATTCAATTCGTTCTCTTTTTCCACAGCTCCATGACTTTCCTGAAATCAAAAACTTCTGCCTGAAAAACGCTGCAGTCGTTGTTCAGTTTAAAGGATCTCCGGATATTCACTCTTAAAAGAACCTGTAATTAGTAGCGATGCTACTCTTTGGACTTTATCAATTCTTTTAATGAAGGTAGTTTTGCCTAAAGATTGCCATACTAGCCCTCCATAAGTTAGTATTGACCGAACAACTGATTCATTTAACCATTTGATAATATGTGGCTTAAGTTTCTACAAGAATAGAGTGCGATTAAGTCACTCATCGATCGCTCCCCGATATTCCTTTTCCAATTTAATTTTTGGTCAAGGACAGTACGGAAGTACTTACCGAATTGTGGGGTACCCCTAGTAACCGATTTTCTGACGAAGCACTGCCCGATGCTTGAGTTGATGATCCTGCTAAAGAGCATAACATCAATCCATTCAATTAGAAGTGGTGGTAAACTAAGTTTTGTAAGGGAACCATTAGTTGTCCCATGGGGCATTGTCGAAGGCTCCTTCTATATCGAGAAAGCCTTCCAAAGTGAAGCACGAGTCATTCAGGTTCTTCTCCACAAAACCCATGACATCATTCTGCGCTCTTTCGCCAGTTTTTCCTTTCATGTAGACATGCTGATCCGTGCTTATCGAAGTCAAAGGTACCAGCGATCTGATCTCAATACCTATTAGTCTCTCTAGAGTTTTTAATAGAAATTACTGACTGGATTTGGAAGTACATGACTTGGTTTCCCCGTCTTGGGAATATAATTGACTGTACTTCCCTCCACACTGATGGAGAGAGAGACGCAGACAAGCCTTAAATATCACTTCCAGAAATTGCATAATTACCGTCGATGCATGCTGTAAGATTTTGGGGTGCCTACAATCCTATCAATCAGACTCACCTCCTCTACCCCACAGTGCTGACTATGTTGCTCTGCCAGTCGATCTGTGCAGTTCAGAAAGTGAGTGCTGGCTAGCAGATTGAGAGTCTCTTACCTGAGTCATTCCAACTTCCATCTTTCCCTTTATGCATCCAATGGATTTAGGATCATTTGAAAGAACTTTACGAAACCTGGATGCTTCATTGACATCTTCTATAGACTCAGAAAAACACACCCACGGTTTTCTGTTGCCTCAGGTTATGGTTCCTCCGTTGACCGCATTGTTTTGCCGTTAACATTTAAAGAAAACAAATGGCAGTTTAAAACACACATATTCTCCCTATATTTACATTTGCCGTTGATTTAGCAGGGCAAGAGAGTCTCTCACCACTACTAATGCAAATATGATGAACAAGGTAGATGTACTAGGTAATCGCATCAGCCCAGCTGACGGCATCATTAAATGTCAAAACAAATTGTTGTAATGAAGAATTCGCCCTAAATGAATGCAACAACAAATTTGTTTATGTTGTCTTCCCTAAAAGTACCTTTTTATAATATTTCAAATAATTTTAGAGCAAGTTAAGAGTGAAACCAGTAAAAAAATTAAAAGAAAATGAAGGAAGGAGGTTAGAATGGAGTGCAGCTTTAAGAATTAAGTTAGCCTCAACATCTAAGATTCCCATAGTGCAAGAATTTGACTCTTGTCATTTGCAGTTCCGGAAAACTTTCGGTTTAAACCAGTAAAATATAGTCATTTTAAGTTTCTTGGTTTAAAAAATATCGCAATACTACAATTAATACTTATTTTACTCTTATTTGTTTTACAATAAAAACTTTTATTGCGACGTTCGTTTACGACGAGAGGCACACAAAATAAAATGTAAACAAACACCTCGTTTCTGATTGGTTGAAACAAATTTGCCGCAACCTTTAAATGTCATGGCGAATCTATGTTTTTTGCCTTAGATGCCAATTTTGACATTTGAGGGGACCACAAAAGTTGCTTTGTTGTAGCAATTCGCCGATGCGGTTACCTGTTAGATCTACCTTGGCTGCTTTATGTGAATTTTTGTTTCTCTCACACACACAAGCGCAATGTTCATTTTGTGCATCTATGGACAAGAATGGATTTTTGGAGTTATTCCACAAGATTGAATCTAAATTGACAGGACAATACAGTTTTATCATAAAATTGTACAATTTTTTACCCACTTATGCCATGTTTACGTTAGAACTTTTGGTAGTGTTAACCTTCTTTGAGAGGATTTATTTGAAGTAAAAGTAATGGATATGACAATTTAAATCCAAATCTAGTGGGTTAACCCTCATATATATAAACGTACTATTACGTCTCAAATTTGCATTTATTTTGCAACCAAATTTAAAATAATTTCAAACCATTGTATTTTTTATTCAAAACAGTACACACATACACAAAATGACTGAATAAAGGTGAGAATACATAAAACGCTTATCTGACTGGCTTAAGTCATTGGCTAGCTTCTTTATAGTGGAACAATGGGGTTTTAGGTTGACGTACTTCGATTTTGGCTCAAGGCTTCTTTGTTCATTTCCGAAGAAGCAAGCCGATGACTTAAGCCAGTCAGGAAAGCGTTTTATGTAGTCTCACCTTAAGGGCACCAAAAGAAAAATTATATGTTGGGGGTAGCTTTGTTCTATCTACGTCAAGTTTTCTTTTATTACTTATTATTTTATGTAGTGAAAATGTAAAAACAGATGAAAAAATATTTCTGCTGTTAAGATTTGTGCCTAAGTTGTTTTGATGGATCAGCTGTTATCTTACAAATGTTTTGCAAGTTGCTGATCGTTTACGTTTTACTAACTTCTTACTGAGTAAGTGTTACTGGAAAAGTAAACGAACGAACCTTGTACCGTCGTTTTCAATATGTCGTTCTCTTATTAGTTCCCTTTTGAAATCTTGAAAAGCAACATATCAGACAATCAGGTTTCTACTACTTTGCATACTAGTAAATTTACCTAGGAAGTAGTCATAAAGGAAAACGCCATATTTGTCTGCGTTCCCCTCGTTTTGTCCACAAAATTTTCTAGTTGTTTGTGCTATATATATATATATATATATATATATATATATATATATATATATATATATATATATATATATATATATATATATATATATATATATATATATATATATATATATATATATATATATATATATATATTGGTAGAAGAATACTGGTAAACGCATCGACACAGCCAAACCAATTTTGGAGTTGAAATTTTTGAATGACAAATCATTCAAAACGCTTATTATAATAACCTCTAATAGACTTCATATAAAAAACATATGAAAATCAACTTATATTAAAAACAAATATTTTAAACTTTTTAACAATGTTCCCAAACGTTGATGCATCTTTTCCATAGTGCATAATTAACAATTTTCAAATGTCAGTATGAACGTGGCATAGTTGCATATCTTATTGTACCGTCGTTCTCAATATGTCACTCTCTTACTAGTTCCCTTTTGAACTCATTTTCTTAGTTCACTACAAAATTAGATAGATGTAGGAACCAACTAAGGACAAGAATAAATCATATATTTCATATAAAAAATTAACAAAAGAGGTTGATATTTCTTCACATATCGTTGTGAACATTAAACATTACTTTTAACCTTTTGTTGCCGTTTCAGAAAATATTGGATAAAATGTCGAGCAGAAAAGCATCTCATGCAGGCAGTTGGTATACCGATTCAGGTCAGTAAACTATAAAAAAATAGAAGGAAATGCAATTCTGTTCTGAAAGATAATTTCCACAACCAGGTTGGAAGAGTTGAGATTTTGTGTCTCAAAATCCTAGCGAAAAATATACTCTGTAGTAAAAGACGCATCCAGTCTACATAATCCCATTTCCATAAAGTATATTTTTATAATACAAAAAGATGATAAAAAAAGAAATTTGTTTAATTCTGCATTTCTTTGTTGTTGTCTACACTTAATTTCGCATCTCCTGAGTCTAGTTCCAACTTTTTCTGAAGTTCAGTTACTCGGTCGCAAGAGATTTCGATTATATGAGTCATGCGTTTGGTAATGTCTTGTACATCATTTCGCTGTCTCTTCAATTTCTCCAGTCCATGTTGGAATTGCGTACAGACTTTAAAGAATTCACTCAGCTCGGGAATGTCGCCAAATTCGCCTGGGTGTCTACGAAATTTTCCAGCCATTTCTTGAGTCAATTCGCTCAGACGATTGTCGACATACTTTTGGTCAAATGTGTTTTTCAAATCATTTACAATAACTTTGATATCATTGTTTTTGCCCTCCAAATGTACATCTTTGATACGAGACTTTAAACAGCCAAAATTTATACTTTCAAAACGATCTGCAATGGTTTGAAATAATTGATAACTGTGATTGAGATCAAGATTAATTTTTTGCATTTCATCGTCTATGGAATAATAGCCATGGGTTTTTTGTAAATTGAACAAAGGAGGAGGAACGTTTTCTTGTTTTGGTAATGTAGGATTTTTGAGTTCTTCTTCCACGACATCTATTTGACATTTCTGGGAATACTTTTCAGTATCTGAGGACCTGAAAGAGACAAGAAGTCGCCCAAAAATTATATAGGCACCTAAAGATTTTTTGGATTGTCTTACTCATCATCTATAATTGCCACCAATTCATGTCTTATCGATTCCAATAAAAAGTTGGTTCCTTCATCATTACGATGTTCCATTGCAAATCGGATTTTTAATTAAAAATGTTGTTTCTAGTCGTAGCAGAAGATTCAAACGATATGTTTTGGAATATAAAAATTGTTTACCTAAACAAACATTGTTGGCATAGTTATCACCTTGCCTACTTCATATATTAGTTCGTTCATATGTAGGTAGTACGCTGCACGGCGATATGGTGGTGTTTTTTTATCAGACTGTCTGTCGATTATTATTTACTTTTTTCTCCAGAAATATGTAGCCAATAAGATTTCTGTGAAGCATTGGGTACTGGCTATTCGGTCAGTCTTGATGGGTATTAATGTGTTTTTGTTTATTTGTAGCTTCTGAACTATCACGTCAACTTGATAATTGGCTGGGAGCCGCGACACTTTCACATGGGCCGGCTAGGGCTATAATAGCCCCGTAAGTACATAAATTTAAATTATAATACATTTCATGTTTTCAATTGTGCTTTTTTCTTTGCAGCCATGCTGGATATACGTATTGCGGTGCATGCGGTGCTTTTGCATATCGACAAGTCAGTCCGGCTGTAGTGTAAGCACTTACATTGTGACCCATATCCTCATAATGATAATAATAAATGTCTACTTTGTAGTAAGCGCGTCTTTATTTTGGGACCATCACATCACGTACGTCTTCGAGGCTGTGCCTTATCAATTGCTAAAAAGTATGCAACCCCGCTTTATGATCTCAAAATTGATACAGACAGTAAGATATTTCCTGAATTACAAACATAAAAATTAAAAAAAATATTGCAAACATTTTTGATAATTAGTTAATGCCGAATTGGAAAAGACTGGTCACTTCTCCTGGATGGATATGAAGACGGACGAGAATGAGCACAGCATCGAAATGCATCTACCTTATATTGCCAAAGTTATGGAAGAGTAAGATATAAAAAATTGCTAGCATAAAAAAATCTCTAAATTCCACTCATTCACCTGTTTAGTTTTAAAGATCAATTTACGATTGTTCCAATTTTGGTGGGCTCGCTAAATCCAGACCAGGAGGCATTGTACGGACGCTTACTGGCAAACTATTTCACAGATCCTCAAAATTTATTTGTCATATCTTCAGACTTCTGTCATTGGGGTCATCGTTTCAATTACACCTACTATGACAAATCATGTGGTCCAATTTACAAATCCATTGAAAAGCTGGATAAACAGGTATGATATATTTATATATGAACGTTTTGTGAATTTATTGGCATTTTCATTCACAGGGAATGGACATCATTGAAACCCTAAAACCGGAAACATTCACTGCCTATTTGCGGGAATACAACAACACCATTTGTGGACGCCATCCCATTGGCGTAATGCTAAGTTCAGTAAAAGTTCTCCAAGAACAAGGATACAATATGAGCTTTAAATTTTTAAAATACGATCAAAGTAGCCATTGTAAAGTAATGGATGATTCGAGTGTTAGTTACGCTTCCGGTTCTTTAGTTTTTGAGTGCTAAAGATAATGCTATATAAAAGTAATATATTTAATCCAACAAGACATTAAAATAAACCGGCCATTACGCTTTTATTGTTCAAACCGTAAACAATTATATATTGTCTTCGAAATAAGCAAATTGTACATATTATAAGCGTTTGGCTCTAAATAAAAACAGCTTTAAATCAATGACTGTATTATTTTTTAAAAAATGGTGAAACATGTAGGTTTTCAAGAGGGATGCTTGAAATGATAAGATCGACAATTTTTTAAACAGTAGATTTGTTCAAAACCGATTGGGACCGAAATTTAAAGCAAGGAGTTGAACTATCCACTGAGAATATGGAATGGTAAATGAATGATAGTTGATCAAAAATTGGGACCAACGCTTCCAAAATACTAAAAATCAGAAGACAGCGTTAAATGGGGACTATAACTAAACGTGGACTGTGGACTATGTAGGGTATATTAGATCTGTCATTCCTCTCGTTGAATAAAACCTTTCCATTTATTAGCATTATCCGACGACATTGCTTCTTTATAACTTCTTGGACCATTTGAAACGAAATCAATGGCACAGAATACTGACGAATTTTGGTTTTGATTTGCAATACGATCTGATCTCCGAATTTGTGGTTCCTCCACACTTTCTTGCCTGTAGCTTCTGCTAGGAGTCCATGCACGATTTTGTGCGCTGACTTCATCGCTATTTGATGGCCAATCTGTTTCTAAATACACGCTGTCTGTATCGGATTCCTCAGCAGGGGTTTCATTCGGAGTTAGAGTTTCTTCAGATGAATTTTGCATACTTGGATCATTAGCTATTACGGAAGGTGTTGATTCATTAAGATTGTCTTGATAATGGGATTCTCTCTCCCCTGAATCAGCGCTTTCGTTTTGCAATAATTCTGGATAATAAAAGTCTTCATTTCTTGGCTCAGTTCTGTTGACTTTCCCGTTCTCCATAAATGTTATATCACGACAGATTATTATCTTGCTATCCTTGGGACTAAACAAGCGGTATGCCTTGCTTTCAGCACTATATCCCACCATTATGCATTCGGTTGACTTCGGATCTAACTTCGATCTTTTATCTTTCGGTATGTGTGCAAAAGCAGGACAGCCAAACACTCGAAGGTACGTTAAATTTGATTTTCGACCGCTCCATATTTCTTCTGGACATTTCTTTTGTTGTCGACATGGCACTCGATTTATGAGATATGCTGCAGTAACTGCTGCTTCAGCCCAGAAACGATTATCTAAGCCACTATCGATGAACATACAACGGACCCTTTCAATGATTGTGCGGTTCATACGCTCCGTCACACCATTTTGCTCCGGGGTGTATGGACACGTCTTCTGATGTATAATGCCTTTTTCTTTGCATAACTTCTCAAATTGGCGATTAACGTATTCTCCACCATTGTCTGATCGGAAAATCTTTATTTTTTTTCAGTCTGGTTTTCAGCCATATTCATAAATTCCACAAATTTTGAAAACACTTCAGACTTACTTTTTATGGGATACGCCACAACTTTCCTAGAGAAATCATCAATGAAGGTTACAAGGAAACGTGTTCCAGAAAACGAGCACTGGTTCAACGGACCAACAACATCAGTGTGTATAATTTGCATTATTAGGTTTTCGGCATTGCTTTCCTTGTAGACAGATTGTGCATGTACCATCTTCTTTCTCCGAAAAATTTAATCCAAAGTTGGCTTCTTTAACATCTTCGAGTTTCGAATGGCAAATATGACCCATTCTGCGATGCCACAAATTCAAATTACCTGAAACAGCAAATACTTTATCTTTCGAGTTTTCAGATTCACATTCTAATCTGTATAATTCATTGTGCATCTTTGCAAAGGCTATAACTTTTCCTTGCTTGTTTCGGATTTTGCAGGAATCGCCCTCAAATATCACAGACTTGTCACTTTTTGTAATTTGCCGCACGGACAACAAGTTCGTACAAAGATTTGGGACAAATTCAACGTCCTTGACAATTACATTCTTTGCCCCATCTTTACCAGAAACTTTCAGATCGATGTCGCCAATGCATTCAACTTGAAGTTCTTCCTTATTTGCAACGATGACTTTTTTGTTTTCTACATGTCGTTTGTTATACATCTTGCTATCATAATTTGTCATATGATTACTTGCACCACTATCGATGTACCAAGAGCTTAAATTAGAACTCATATCGGACGTGGCTTTTGCGTAAGAAATTCCATCAATTGTGGCAAATAAAACTTCAGATTTCTTCACATGCTTGCCGTGTTCAATCTTACTTACATTGTTTCTGTTTGGGCAATTCTTGGATATATGACCAGTCTTCTTACAATTGTAGCACGTAATTTGCTTCCTGTTCTTTGAAAATTTAGCTTGAAAAGCTGAGTCTCTGCCATTAACGTTATCGAATTTCGCATCTTGTAGCAACAGATTTTTCACCATATCCACGGTTAGCTTCTGTTTGGAATTTTCAACGGCCATAACTAATGGTTTGAAATCATCGGTCAGTCCAGCTAGCATCAATGAGGCAGTCAACTCATCATCAATGTTTAATCCTGCATTCTTTACCTTTAATGCGATGATGACCAAGTCGTTCACATACTCCTGAATTGTTTTATAATTCTGCATCTTGATGTTGACTAATTGTTTCAATAATTCCACTTTCCGTGTAAGTCCTGTATCCTCATATGCATTAATCAAGGCAGTCCATGCATCTTTCGCTGTTGTAGCAGCCGCAATGTGACCATAATCATGTAATGTAATTTCTGCCAGGGCTTTTTCATTCAGTTCGGTATCCGGCATTTCTTCATTTACAGCTTTCCAGCAACCTTTTATCACCAATAACGATTTTGCTTGTCTTTTCCAGACATCAAAATTCTCGCGGCCCCGCAATTTCTCCATTGGGTACAATAATTGGCTGCTTGCCATAGTTTTCACTATTTTTTCAAAACTTTTTTAATGTGTCTAGAGGCCCATAACCTATTGTGTTTAAAGTTTTATTGAAAACTGAAAAAATATGTATTCTAATTTACAAATCGTTTGAATACAAATTCAATGCATACAAGATATAATATAACAATTAAAAGTAGTAGTGTAAAAGGTAGTTTTACATTCAAATTACAACAAATATAAGTTGACATCAACAACTCTATCGCCAAATCAAGGCCAATACAAGTCTACGTCTCACAAATTGTAATATAGACAAGAATACCTATTCGAAACAAACGCAATCGACGTCGACAAATAGAATAAGGGTTTAATATGAATGCCTGTACAAAATGTCAAATCTCTATAATTTATAGTACGATTTCCATAGTGACGGATGGACATCGCTTAATCAGCATATACTTTATGGGAACTGGGTTAATGTAAAATGTTGTTTACTTCAAAAATGTACTAGGAATGAATTTCTGCTCTAAAGTCAAATTCTTTCGTTTCAAATTTTACAAAAAAATACCATCTATTTTTCTTGCTTTGACCCTATAGAAAGTTATATTCCAAACAATATGTTTTGTTATCATCATTTTTTTATTATTTTGCATTTAACCGCACGTTTTATGTTTAATGAAAAAGGATTAAATAGACGATTTTATTGGTTTTTATTTTTATAAATTGCAAAATACTGCTGGATACGTTTAATATATGTATGTACGTTTTACTTGTATATCTGTAGGATTTTAAAAATAATATAAAAAGAACGAACAGGCTTCTCTAATTCTCTTAAATGTAAGTTAAATCACTGCAGAGTTCAACTCACACGGGCGAATGTGAAATCTAATGATTTCTCTGTTTTCTATTTTCAATCATTTCGATTTATTGATTGATTCACAGAAGAAATATCATCAATATATATTGCAAATAATAAACATGTTCCATATAAAGATAAATGGGGAAGAATCTATTCTTTGAATAGTTTTATTTTAATTAGTATTACTTTATTTTGTGTGAGACTATCTACATTCAATTTGATGAATGTGGTTTGTGTTTTGTTCATGAGTTTATGTTTACCACCAACCATTTGTATTGGCACTGGTTGTGACTGTGTGTCCAATACCGCTGCTATTGCCATTAATTTGAGAGCTTTGCTCGCCTGCTTTTGCTGCTGCTGTGGCTGTTGTTGCGTTAGAAGAGATGTGTAGCGAATTTAGATTTTGTACAAATCCTTCTAGAGTATTTTCGTCCATATAGGGAGATGTACGATGGCTGGCTAGGCCAGTGGGTCCATTTTTATTACTTAATAAGTTGTTAATGTCTAATATTGAGTTATGGTTATCACTTGATGTCACATTTGCAGTGGCAGACGTTGCTGCCTGGGAGGGTTGAGTCGATTCAAAATCGTATTTCATTGCAGTGTCCAACTCGCCAAGATTCATATGAATGTTGTTATTGGAAAATATATTGGAATCTACGGTAAGAAAGAGCATTAACACCAATTTTTGAGCATATAAAATGTGTCCGAGCTTACCATTGTAGTGATCACGATAGTTGCCTCGATAATTAGCTTGATTATTCTGGACAGTACTCGCATCGAACAGACTGTTGGATGATGCTGGTCTGTTGCCGCCATAAACAGGTGTAATCTCGACACGATGAGCCTGTGGAGAGTTAGCATTGCGAGCGAAATTCGAGTCGTTTACGTTGTGAATGGATACCTAAAAATTAAAACAAAAAATTAATGATTGCATCGTAGAATGTATTTTTTTTTTGTTTGTTGTTCATTAGGTTTGATCTTCAACAAGAATCCTTCTTCTTTTCACCTTATGTAACAACTACTTCAAATTGATATACACGGTTTGTTTTACTCACCTCAGTGTTAAGATTTTGTCCGGGAATCAAATTCTTCAAAAAAGAAGCATCGTCATAACGTATAACTCCAGTATTCGGAATACCTTCGAGATAGGAATTATATCCCGTAATGGATGGAGGTGGTGAATCATCGCCACAACTATGATGTACGTGTGCAGCAACAGTTGTTGCAGAAGAGCTACTTCCGCCACTGCTACCAGTAAAGACATCAAACCCATTATAATATTTGGACTGTTGATACTTTTCTTGAAGGGTCATGTCTACTCCTGCAGTGGTTGTGCCATCAGCAGCAGCTCCCAAAAACGATGAACTACACGCTGTGAGAAAAAATATAGTATTAATGAGAAAACGAATGATCAAGAACAGTAAAATGCACACACACCATTATCGGGCTTATTCATCGGCAATGAATCCGTGCCAAAATGTGACCAATGTTGTTCTTTTGATTTTTGTTTTTCATCCAGTCTACATAATCCCATTTCCATAAAGTATATTTTTATAATACAAAAAGATGATAAAAAAAGAAATTTGTTTAATTCTGCATTTCTTTGTTGTTGTCTACACTTAATTTCGCATCTCCTGAGTCTAGTTCTAACTTTTTCTGAAGTTCAGTTACTCGGTCGCAAGAGATTTCGATTATATGAGTCATGCGTTTGGTAATGTCTTGTACATCATTTCGCTGTCTCTTCAATTTCTCCAGTCCATGTTGGAATTGCGTACAGACTTTAAAGAATTCACTCAGCTCGGGAATGTCGCCAAATTCGCCTGGGTGTCTACGAAATTTTCCAGCCATTTCTTGAGTCAATTCGCTCAGACGATTGTCGACATACTTTTGGTCAAATGTGTTTTTCAAATCATTTACAATAACTTTGATATCATTGTTTTTGCCCTCCAAATGTACATCTTTGATACGAGACTTTAAACAGCCAAAATTTATACTTTCAAAACGATCTGCAATGGTTTGAAATAATTGATAACTGTGATTGAGATCAAGATTAATTTTTTGCATTTCATCGTCTATGGAATAATAGCCATGGGTTTTTTGTAAATTGAACAAAGGAGGAGGAACGTTTTCTTGTTTTGGTAATGTAGGATTTTTGAGTTCTTCTTCCACGACATCTATTTGACATTTCTGGGAATACTTTTCAGTATCTGAGGACCTGAAAGAGACAAGAAGTCGCCCAAAAATTATATAGGCACCTAAAGATTTTTTGGATTGTCTTACTCATCATCTATAATTGCCACCAATTCATGTCTTATCGATTCCAATAAAAAGTTGGTTCCTTCATCATTACGATGTTCCATTGCAAATCGGATTTTTAATTAAAAATGTTGTTTCTAGTCGTAGCAGAAGATTCAAACGATATGTTTTGGAATATAAAAATTGTTTACCTAAACAAACATTGTTGGCATAGTTATCACCTTGCCTACTTCATATATTAGTTCGTTCATATGTAGGTAGTACGCTGCACGGCGATATGGTGGTGTTTTTTTATCAGACTGTCTGTCGATTATTATTTACTTTTTTCTCCAGAAATATGTAGCCAATAAGATTTCTGTGAAGCATTGGGTACTGGCTATTCGGTCAGTCTTGATGGGTATTAATGTGTTTTTGTTTATTTGTAGCTTCTGAACTATCACGTCAACTTGATAATTGGCTGGGAGCCGCGACACTTTCACATGGGCCGGCTAGGGCTATAATAGCCCCGTAAGTACATAAATTTAAATTATAATACATTTCATGTTTTCAATTGTGCTTTTTTCTTTGCAGCCATGCTGGATATACGTATTGCGGTGCATGCGGTGCTTTTGCATATCGACAAGTCAGTCCGGCTGTAGTGTAAGCACTTACATTGTGACCCATATCCTCATAATGATAATAATAAATGTCTACTTTGTAGTAAGCGCGTCTTTATTTTGGGACCATCACATCACGTACGTCTTCGAGGCTGTGCCTTATCAATTGCTAAAAAGTATGCAACCCCGCTTTATGATCTCAAAATTGATACAGACAGTAAGATATTTCCTGAATTACAAACATAAAAATTAAAAAAAATATTGCAAACATTTTTGATAATTAGTTAATGCCGAATTGGAAAAGACTGGTCACTTCTCCTGGATGGATATGAAGACGGACGAGAATGAGCACAGCATCGAAATGCATCTACCTTATATTGCCAAAGTTATGGAAGAGTAAGATATAAAAAATTGCTAGCATAAAAAAATCTCTAAATTCCACTCATTCACCTGTTTAGTTTTAAAGATCAATTTACGATTGTTCCAATTTTGGTGGGCTCGCTAAATCCAGACCAGGAGGCATTGTACGGACGCTTACTGGCAAACTATTTCACAGATCCTCAAAATTTATTTGTCATATCTTCAGACTTCTGTCATTGGGGTCATCGTTTCAATTACACCTACTATGACAAATCATGTGGTCCAATTTACAAATCCATTGAAAAGCTGGATAAACAGGTATGATATATTTATATATGAACGTTTTGTGAATTTATTGGCATTTTCATTCACAGGGAATGGACATCATTGAAACCCTAAAACCGGAAACATTCACTGCCTATTTGCGGGAATACAACAACACCATTTGTGGACGCCATCCCATTGGCGTAATGCTAAGTTCAGTAAAAGTTCTCCAAGAACAAGGATACAATATGAGCTTTAAATTTTTAAAATACGATCAAAGTAGCCATTGTAAAGTAATGGATGATTCGAGTGTTAGTTACGCTTCCGGTTCTTTAGTTTTTGAGTGCTAAAGATAATGCTATATAAAAGTAATATATTTAATCCAACAAGACATTAAAATAAACCGGCCATTACGCTTTTATTGTTCAAACCGTAAACAATTATATATTGTCTTCGAAATAAGCAAATTGTACATATTATAAGCGTTTGGCTCTAAATAAAAACAGCTTTAAATCAATGACTGTATTATTTTTTAAAAAATGGTGAAACATGTAGGTTTTCAAGAGGGATGCTTGAAATGATAAGATCGACAATTTTTTAAACAGTAGATTTGTTCAAAACCGATTGGGACCGAAATTTAAAGCAAGGAGTTGAACTATCCACTGAGAATATGGAATGGTAAATGAATGATAGTTGATCAAAAATTGGGACCAACGCTTCCAAAATACTAAAAATCAGAAGACAGCGTTAAATGGGGACTATAACTAAACGTGGACTGTGGACTATGTAGGGTATATTAGATCTGTCATTCCTCTCGTTGAATAAAACCTTTCCATTTATTAGCATTATCCGACGACATTGCTTCTTTATAACTTCTTGGACCATTTGAAACGAAATCAATGGCACAGAATACTGACGAATTTTGGTTTTGATTTGCAATACGATCTGATCTCCGAATTTGTGGTTCCTCCACACTTTCTTGCCTGTAGCTTCTGCTAGGAGTCCATGCACGATTTTGTGCGCTGACTTCATCGCTATTTGATGGCCAATCTGTTTCTAAATACACGCTGTCTGTATCGGATTCCTCAGCAGGGGTTTCATTCGGAGTTAGAGTTTCTTCAGATGAATTTTGCATACTTGGATCATTAGCTATTACGGAAGGTGTTGATTCATTAAGATTGTCTTGATAATGGGATTCTCTCTCCCCTGAATCAGCGCTTTCGTTTTGCAATAATTCTGGATAATAAAAGTCTTCATTTCTTGGCTCAGTTCTGTTGACTTTCCCGTTCTCCATAAATGTTATATCACGACAGATTATTATCTTGCTATCCTTGGGACTAAACAAGCGGTATGCCTTGCTTTCAGCACTATATCCCACCATTATGCATTCGGTTGACTTCGGATCTAACTTCGATCTTTTATCTTTCGGTATGTGTGCAAAAGCAGGACAGCCAAACACTCGAAGGTACGTTAAATTTGATTTTCGACCGCTCCATATTTCTTCTGGACATTTCTTTTGTTGTCGACATGGCACTCGATTTATGAGATATGCTGCAGTAACTGCTGCTTCAGCCCAGAAACGATTATCTAAGCCACTATCGATGAACATACAACGGACCCTTTCAATGATTGTGCGGTTCATACGCTCCGTCACACCATTTTGCTCCGGGGTGTATGGACACGTCTTCTGATGTATAATGCCTTTTTCTTTGCATAACTTCTCAAATTGGCGATTAACGTATTCTCCACCATTGTCTGATCGGAAAATCTTTATTTTTTTTCAGTCTGGTTTTCAGCCATATTCATAAATTCCACAAATTTTGAAAACACTTCAGACTTACTTTTTATGGGATACGCCACAACTTTCCTAGAGAAATCATCAATGAAGGTTACAAGGAAACGTGTTCCAGAAAACGAGCACTGGTTCAACGGACCAACAACATCAGTGTGTATAATTTGCATTATTAGGTTTTCGGCATTGCTTTCCTTGTAGACAGATTGTGCATGTACCATCTTCTTTCTCCGAAAAATTTAATCCAAAGTTGGCTTCTTTAACATCTTCGAGTTTCGAATGGCAAATATGACCCATTCTGCGATGCCACAAATTCAAATTACCTGAAACAGCAAATACTTTATCTTTCGAGTTTTCAGATTCACATTCTAATCTGTATAATTCATTGTGCATCTTTGCAAAGGCTATAACTTTTCCTTGCTTGTTTCGGATTTTGCAGGAATCGCCCTCAAATATCACAGACTTGTCACCTTTTGTAATTTGCCGCACGGACAACAAGTTCGTACAAAGATTTGGGACAAATTCAACGTCCTTGACAATTACATTCTTTGCCCCATCTTTACCAGAAACTTTCAGATCGATGTCGCCAATGCATTCAACTTGAAGTTCTTCCTTATTTGCAACGATGACTTTTTTGTTTTCTACATGTCGTTTGTTATACATCTTGCTATCATAATTTGTCATATGATTACTTGCACCACTATCGATGTACCAAGAGCTTAAATTAGAACTCATATCGGACGTGGCTTTTGCGTAAGAAATTCCATCAATTGTGGCAAATAAAACTTCAGATTTCTTCACATGCTTGCCGTGTTCAATCTTACTTACATTGTTTCTGTTTGGGCAATTCTTGGATATATGACCAGTCTTCTTACAATTGTAGCACGTAATTTGCTTCCTGTTCTTTGAAAATTTAGCTTGAAAAGCTGAGTCTCTGCCATTAACGTTATCGAATTTCGCATCTTGTAGCAACAGATTTTTCACCATATCCACGGTTAGCTTCTGTTTGGAATTTTCAACGGCCATAACTAATGGTTTGAAATCATCGGTCAGTCCAGCTAGCATCAATGAGGCAGTCAACTCATCATCAATGTTTAATCCTGCATTCTTTACCTTTAATGCGATGATGACCAAGTCGTTCACATACTCCTGAATTGTTTTATAATTCTGCATCTTGATGTTGACTAATTGTTTCAATAATTCCACTTTCCGTGTAAGTCCTGTATCCTCATATGCATTAATCAAGGCAGTCCATGCATATTTCGCTGTTGTAGCAGCCGCAATGTGACCATAATCATGTAATGTAATTTCTGCCAGGGCTTTTTCATTCAGTTCGGTATCCGGCATTTCTTCATTTACAGCTTTCCAGCAACCTTTTATCACCAATAACGATTTTGCTTGTCTTTTCCAGACATCAAAATTCTCGCGGCCCGCAATTTCTCCATTGGGTACAATAATTGGCTGCTTGCCATAGTTTTCACTATTTTTTCAAAACTTTTTTAATGTGTCTAGAGGCCCATAACCTATTGTGTTTAAAGTTTTATTGAAAACTGAAAAAATATGTATTCTAATTTACAAATCGTTTGAATACAAATTCAATGCATACAAGATATAATATAACAATTAAAAGTAGTAGTGTAAAAGGTAGTTTTACATTCAAATTACAACAAATATAAGTTGACATCAACAACTCTATCGCCAAATCAAGGCCAATACAAGTCTACGTCTCACAAATTGTAATATAGACAAGAATACCTATTCGAAACAAACGCAATCGACGTCGACAAATAGAATAAGGGTTTAATATGAATGCCTGTACAAAATGTCAAATCTCTATAATTTATAGTACGATTTCCATAGTGACGGATGGACATCGCTTAATCAGCATATACTTTATGGGAACTGGGTTAATGTAAAATGTTGTTTACTTCAAAAATGTACTAGGAATGAATTTCTGCTCTAAAGTCAAATTCTTTCGTTTCAAATTTTACAAAAAAATACCATCTATTTTTCTTGCTTTGACCCTATAGAAAGTTATATTCCAAACAATATGTTTTGTTATCATCATTTTTTTATTATTTTGCATTTAACCGCACGTTTTATGTTTAATGAAAAAGGATTAAATAGACGATTTTATTGGTTTTTATTTTTATAAATTGCAAAATACTGCTGGATACGTTTAATATATGTATGTACGTTTTACTTGTATATCTGTAGGATTTTAAAAATAATATAAAAAGAACGAACAGGCTTCTCTAATTCTCTTAAATGTAAGTTAAATCACTGCAGAGTTCAACTCACACGGGCGAATGTGAAATCTAATGATTTCTCTGTTTTCTATTTTCAATCATTTCGATTTATTGATTGATTCACAGAAGAAATATCATCAATATATATTGCAAATAATAAACATGTTCCATATAAAGATAAATGGGGAAGAATCTATTCTTTGAATAGTTTTATTTTAATTAGTATTACTTTATTTTGTGTGAGACTATCTACATTCAATTTGATGAATGTGGTTTGTGTTTTGTTCATGAGTTTATGTTTACCACCAACCATTTGTATTGGCACTGGTTGTGACTGTGTGTCCAATACCGCTGCTATTGCCATTAATTTGAGAGCTTTGCTCGCCTGCTTTTGCTGCTGCTGTGGCTGTTGTTGCGTTAGAAGAGATGTGTAGCGAATTTAGATTTTGTACAAATCCTTCTAGAGTATTTTCGTCCATATAGGGAGATGTACGATGGCTGGCTAGGCCAGTGGGTCCATTTTTATTACTTAATAAGTTGTTAAAGTCTAATATTGAGTTATGGTTATCACTTGATGTCACATTTGCAGTGGCAGACGTTGCTGCCTGGGAGGGTTGAGTCGATTCAAAATCGTATTTCATTGCAGTGTCCAACTCGCCAAGATTCATATGAATGTTGTTATTGGAAAATATATTGGAATCTACGGTAAGAAAGAGCATTAACACCAATTTTTGAGCATATAAAATGTGTCCGAGCTTACCATTGTAGTGATCACGATAGTTGCCTCGATAATTAGCTTGATTATTCTGGACAGTACTCGCATCGAACAGACTGTTGGATGATGCTGGTCTGTTGCCGCCATAAACAGGTGTAATCTCGACACGATGAGCCTGTGGAGAGTTAGCATTGCGAGCGAAATTCGAGTCGTTTACGTTGTGAATGGATACCTAAAAATTAAAACAAAAAATTAATGATTGCATCGTAGAATGTATTTTTTTTTTGTTTGTTGTTCATTAGGTTTGATCTTCAACAAGAATCCTTCTTCTTTTCACCTTATGTAACAACTACTTCAAATTGATATACACGGTTTGTTTTACTCACCTCAGTGTTAAGATTTTGTCCGGGAATCAAATTCTTCAAAAAAGAAGCATCGTCATAACGTATAACTCCAGTATTCGGAATACCTTCGAGATAGGAATTATATCCCGTAATGGATGGAGGTGGTGAATCATCGCCACAACTATGATGTACGTGTGCAGCAACAGTTGTTGCAGAAGAGCTACTTCCGCCACTGCTACCAGTAAAGACATCAAACCCATTATAATATTTGGACTGTTGATACTTTTCTTGAAGGGTCATGTCTACTCCTGCAGTGGTTGTGCCATCAGCAGCAGCTCCCAAAAACGATGAACTACACGCTGTGAGAAAAAATATAGTATTAATGAGAAAACGAATGATCAAGAACAGTAAAATGCACACACACCATTATCGGGCTTATTCATCGGCAATGAATCCGTGCCAAAATGTGACCAATGTTGTTCTTTTGATTTTTGTTTTTGCTGTTGAGCATTTTTAATTTCGCTGCCTATGGCTGAAATACATTTTTGAGCTGGTGTCGGCCGTTGAATCACAGCAGCATCACCAGTCAAACCTCCACCGCCTGAAGAACGTTGTGGACTGATATTTCTGCCGGTACCAACACTAGTACAACTAATACTTATATTGTTGTGGGTTGTATTTGTGGAACCATTATCATTGGAGAAATAGGAAAACGAGGAAGTGTTAATATTTCCTGTTGTTGGTGCAGCTTTCGAGTTTTCATTGCTTTGATGTTGCTGCTGCTGTTGCTGTAACGTTGCCCTGGCCGCTTCTGCTGCAGCCTCTTGTGGTGTATAGAAATTGACATTGCCAAATTGTCTATAACCGCCCAGTACCAGACCATTTGTTACAGCCTGATGTAGGGCCGGATTGCGAATAGTGTACATACCATTTTCATTTTTTATTATTGCAGCGGGCTGATCAACGGGCAAGGGAGCAGCGATAGGATATGCATCTAATGGGCGACCTTAAAAACAACAAAAATGAAATAAAAATAAAAAATAATTAAATTACCCCTTCACTCAGGAGCATGCTTAAGAAAAAATAACCTAACAAATAGATTAAAAAATTGTCACTATACCTTGCATCAAACCCGCCTGTGGCAGAATAGTTGCTGGAGCGCCTGTTGAACTACCGTGGAACATGGGATTTCGCAAAGTTATCATTTTTGGTTGTGCGGAATTGTTGCCAACGCCACCACCACTACCACATGCAAAATTCTCTGTGTTTTTAGCATTCGCAGTGGAATTTGACAAAGGGCACGTTGAGCCATTATTGTTGCTGGCCTTCGATTTGTTACGTCGCTTCTTATTTTTCGACTGCTTGCCTGAAGCGGCGCATGATACCACCACGTTTGACGCTTGTGTTGCAGTGTTGCATTTGGGAGGATTGGCTTCTACCATAATGATTCCACTTTGCGGGTCCAAAGCCGCTGTGGGAATAATGCCGGCAGCATTAGCAGGATAATGGGAACCATAGAAGTTTGACAATGGAGTCACGGGTGGAGCAATAATAGTTGTGCCCATACTGGCATGATGGAATGCTTGCGTTGTTTGAGAAATGGGCGCTGGTGGTTGAAGAGGTTTTGCTAATTTTTTTATCGATTCGGATTTTTGACGTAGCTGTTCACTCTTAATGGGATCAACTTTTGTTAAAGTTATGCCCGGTGGTAAGGAAAGATTTTCAACTTGCACGCCACGATTTAACTGATCCATAATGCTAACGTTGTTGTTGTTGCTACTATGCATGCGCTGTTGTGGGCCACCATTGCCACTAAAACGCATTGTCTGCATCTGTTCAGTCAAGCCTTGATAGGAGCAGCTTTGGGCGTTAAGATTCTGATGGCTGGTCACATTGGCTGCGGGTGTAATATTGACTTCGTTTGGATTAAAGTATCCCATGTTGTTGGGAATGCCGTGACAGCAATGTTGATGTTGAGACTGGTTGGTTTTCTGATTCTTTTGCTGAAACTTTTTGTTGCGCTGCGAGCGCTTGTTTTTACCACTACCATCGACAGTACTACCACTACTATTGGCCGTGGAAGATATTTTCTGATTATATTGGCTATCATCGAAATATTGTTGTTGGTTATTCGTTAATGTGTTCGGATGGCTACGATTCGAGTTTCGAACGTTGTTACGCGTTTGAGTTTTCGAGGAATTGACATTAGCATTAGAATTCGATTTAGCAATGGTTGATGAGAGGTGGGAAGTTGTATTTCCTCCAACCGAACGATTGTCTGTCTTGGTCTTACGATTGGTGGCAGCTGTTTTTTGGGCAGAGGAATTTTTGGATTGGCGGATATTCGCTTGCTGTGTGACAGTTGGTTTGCTCATTGCTGCAGCTGGCGACGGATACTTGATCTCATTAACAGAAGTTTTTGACGCTTTGTTGGCAGTATTTTTATTTTGGTGCTTGGTTGCTGCACCTTTGGATGAGGAGTTCGATATTACTGTTGAGGAAACAAGTACCTTTGTTTCATTGCCATCATGTGACGGTTTTTTCGAAGTCTGGCCAATTTTATTATTCTCGGATTGCCTAACATTTTTTATGGTCTCGGTGGTTGATTTTTGGGTAGATAGTGTCAAAGTTCTAATTTTTGATTCGATTGCGTTGACCTCGTCCTCTTCGGCAACATCACAATCGTCGTCGTCGGACGAGGTATATTCCGATTCTGAGTCTTGCATGTGCAAAGATTTAAAAGGATTGTTATCAAATTGTCCATTGTCAATTAATTTTGTCCGTCGTTTTTTAGATTGTGTCACTTTTTGAGAAACAGGTTGTTGGGGCGGCAACGTCGGCACATCACTGTTCTGTTCATCTTCTGAATCCGAACTTGGTGGGGTTGTGGGTTTAATTGTTGCTTTGCTCGCCTGCTGTTTCTCTTTTACCGATTTTTGTTTTGAGTTAGCCTGCACTTGAATTGATTGTTTACTCTTCAGCTGCTTTTGCGGTGTCTGTTTTCCTGCAATACTTTTTACCACTTCATTCTCATCCTCTGATGTAACGACCGATGAAGTGGGTGTCGTTGATTTCTTCTTTTTAGAATTCGAGTTACTCTTGTTGTTTTTCATATTAGTGCTGGAAATACGCTCCTGTTCTTTCGTGGAGGAACTCTTGGCGTTGCCCGGTTTAAGACTGCTCGCAGAGTTGTCTCTGGTATTCATTTGACTACTGGTAGAATTGTTCGAAGACGATGATGACGATGTGGCAGCTGAGCAAGAGGTTGTTGTGGATACCGAACGTTTCTGTTTTAAAGGCTTCTTCATCATTATTTGTGGTACTTGCAAAGGTTTTTCATTATTTTCATTGGTGGACACGGATGTAGTCGAGTTAGAATTCGATAATTTATTTTGCTTGCTTTTGATACCTTTTTTGGTGGATGGGGAGGATATGGTGGTGGACTGGGATACGAGCGGTTGTTGTTTAGAATTTGATTTTTTCTTCTTTTTCTTGGATTGTTTTTGTTGTTGCTGTTGCTCCAACTCAATTTTTCTCTGTTCTTCTAAAGCACGTAATCTGTGTTGCTCCTCTTCCAAGCGTTTTCTTTCAGCCTCTTCTGCTGCATCAGCCTCTGCTTGCAATTTTGCCAATCGCCTTCGTTCTTTTTTCATTTGACTTTTTGATAGTTTTGGTGGGGGAGGTGGTGGTATAGTTAATAAATGCTCCGGTGGGAGTGGTAACTGATTCAAATGCCCAGATACCGGAGGTGGTGCCGATGGAGGTTGCATAGGATTAATTACTGACATTTGGGGTATGGCAATAGGAGGGGCTGCACCCGATGTTTGTACAAGTTGCCCATTGATAAAGGTATAGAGCAGCTTATCCTTGTCTGGACTGCTGCCCTTGGCAGTAACTGTTACCTGGGGCTCTGGTACATTTGGCAAATTGACCCTGCGAATGGTTACAATTCGTTTGGAGGGATCACTGGATCCAGAACTATTGGCAGACATAGAGGCGACAACATCTGGTCCAAGCTGTTGCTGTTGTTGGGTGCCAGGTCCGGAAGATGGTGGGGCATAACACATGGGGGAAGCTCGCATCAAACCAAATGGAGCTGCGGCGGCAGCAGTGGGTGGAAAGCCCAAATTATAAGGAAAATGGTTGGCATGAGCATAAGGCATACTGTAGGCCTCGGGTACCATACTCAGATTATTTGTTGAAGCCATGTTAAACTGAGTCGACGGCGAAGGCACAATCATTTCATTATTTATTTGTTGTAAATCTGTCGCTCGTCCGGCCTTTTCTGCTGTGCCCGCTATCAGATCATTTTTTTCATTACCATCCGAATTCTGTGCTTCGAGTTCCTTAACCTTTTCCATTTGTTGTTCTTTCGTAGGAAGGTAGGAAAATTTGAACTCGGCGTTTGTTTGTTTGACCGTTGCAATTAGTTCCAAAATGGCAGTTTCAACTTTGGCCTTAGCCCTTTGCAAATTCTTAATATTGCTTTCCAATTCACCAATTTTCTTTTTGTCTCTCTTCTTATTTGCCTTTAGAGATTTTAAATTGAGCTTATCGGTAAACTCTTTAAAGTAAATATTGTGGAATTGACTTCTTAGATCCTGCAATTCTGCTATACGCTTTTCTTCGTCCTTTCTCTGTTTTTGTTTAGCTTTTTTGGCCGCTTTCTTGGGATTTGAAGTCTGAGGCTGTGATTTCTTTTTCCCAGCAGCTGTCGGACCCTCAATAAAACTCAATGTCTCTTTTATCCATTTCTTCTTGGCTTGCTCTTTGGAATAGTTGTCAATTATTTCACATATTTCGCTAACAAAATCGAGATTGCTCGACGATTTTGATGTCACCGAAGTTGCCGATGTTGTTGCCGCAACTGCTGCTATCGATGGTGTTGGTGGGAACTGTGGTGATGCTGACGATTTATCGGATTGACCTGATGATTTGGGTATTGGTTCTTTATTACTGTCCTTACTCTTTGTACTTTGGCTAGATGTTGACGCGTCTCGTGTTGAATTGTTGCTAAGATTTGATTTTTTGCTGGGTGGCTCCAAGGACGTTAGCTGATGTGGTTGTTGTGGGGAAGTTTTCGGCTGGTTTTGCTTGTGCTGAGACTTCTTCGGCAATGTTTTGCCATTGGAATCACTCTTCTGATTGGTTTGCAAATGTTGCAAACATTCACATAAATCATGTAACTTGGCTTGATGAAGTTGCTCAAATGTTGCTGCAATATAATGCGGTTCATCCCATGATGCAGAATGTGGCATTTGTTGCTGAAACTGCTGGAAAAGTTTTAATTCCTCTGCGTTTAGAACATTGTCCACTTGGTTAGGTGTTTCTGCAATGTTAGTTGCAGTAGTTGGTGCAGCCACTGGCTGTGAGGACACAGAAGTTTTTCGTGCATTAACAATTTGGGATAATTTTTTACGAAGTCGTTCTCTAGTCTCATTCATTCTGGCGTGATTGCAGTCCTATAGCATATTGGAGACAATTATTTTAATTTTTGGAATAGATTGAAATGTAATTTTGGCATACCTTTTTTAATCTTTTTTTATTTGAATGGTTTTCTTTGCAATTATCGCTACCAATTTCGGAATGATCACCTGTGAAATATAATTTATAGAAAAGTTTTTATTTTAATTTTTAGTAAGAAATGTTGCTGCTGCAAGTCTTACATTTTCTGGGTTTTTCCTTACATGTCTTTTTCGGCTGAGATTCAACTGTCGATGGAGTATTTAATTCTGCAGATACTTGTTGTTCTTCATCTGCGGGCTCACTTAAATGTGTTGGCATATTTTCGCATTGTAAAGAAGATCTAAAATCAACGAATGTACTGTTGGTTAGGTTTGAATTACACGCTTTTAATTCATTGGATATAAATGTTGTACTTACTCCGGGTTATCCGTAATTTTTAGAATATCATTCAATTTCTTTTGTATTTCCACGCTATCAATGTTGACGACAGCATCAAAGCTATAAAAAAACAGATAGAAATTAAATTATTTAAGTTAATGTTTATAGGTGGATTGATACCTACTTGGATTCTACATCGTTATTGTACGGTGATAAACTAAAAATAGAAAAAATACGTGCAGTTTTTTTTACTTACAATACTTGTTTGATTCTATTTTGTTGCATACCTCTTAATTTTATCGAGAAACTCTAAAAACTTAGTATCATCCTTGTTGCCAACGATTTTGTCCACATTTATATTTATATCGCTGTTTTTTAATTCAAGCGAGTCCAGATTCAAGTTGGCGTCTTGATCGCCATTATTTTCATCAAAGTCAATAAAATAAATAGCATATACTGATATAATAAATATCCAATAAATTTTCACTACAAGATCGTGCACATCTATTAGATCGAGGCCATTGTTCGAAGCCACCAGTTTGCGGTTATACAACATAATGTTCGGCAGAATTGAGCGTAGCTCTTCACGTGTCATTGACATTGGCTGGTAGTAATGTATCAGATCCTGTGATAGTGATGGAGATATTTCGTTGTTTAAGATTTTACGTGCCAATTGACAGGATGCCAGTTTACAATTCTGACAGAAATGTTGTCTCTCAATGGTAGTGAACGGAAAGCGTTTGCGATCTGCAAAAGAAAATTTGTACGTTTTAGTAACAACATAGAAAGTATATAAACCTGGTTTCGTGTGTTTAATGTGTTCAATCAGTGTTCAATAGGCAAATTGATTTTAAGAACTCCACACAAATACTTACTGTTAAGATGGGTAAAAACAGCCCATGCAATGTGATAACCATTTGCTATTATTTCGGACATTTGCTGACTTGCTGGCACACCATTTTCATCTAGCATATCTTCCAGGCCTACATAGAACTCTTCATCGGCATCCTGAAGAGCAATATTCTTAGGTTTTATGGCTGCAGTACTATTTTTAGATGGATTCTGAAAATCATCATTTGCGCAAACATTTACAATTTTCGAGTCATAGAAATTCTCATCCTTTACGACTATGTCCTGGGCAAGACATTTGGAACATTTGTCTGCATTTCGTGTGGGTGGTAGTGGTCCACCAGCAATGGAACACGTTATACACTTGCAAAGTCTGTAGCGAACAAAAAATACTCTTATAAATTAAGATGGCTTGTATATTAAAGCAATATAATGAACCTACTCTGCATGATATTCTAGTGAAACATTACATTTTTTACATTTATCATCTACGACTAATGTATTGGGTGGTTGGTAGAACCCATCTGGCCATTTCATTTTGGTATAGGACATGATATTCCTCCAGGCTAAACGCCGATTTTTCAGTGACCGAAAATCATAAAAATCATTATCGTCAACGCTGTCCTGCAGCGAAAATGCAATGGCATCCTGCACCACCGTATCGAAAATGCGGTACACATCCAACAATGATTTACGTCGTTTGCGTTCCACTTCTGATAGATTAAATTCGTTTAATTTTACCCAAACATCCGTCCACCAAATATCAACGCGATTCATAATATTTTCGAATTGTATATATCGTTTGATAAGATCCGTATGGTGCGATGTCAATTCTTCCTCTTTTAACTGTGGACATAAAAAAGGTACGAAAATATATTAGGTTTGTGCAAGACATTTTGCAAATTCTTTCAATATTTCATACCGTTATAATACATGCTAACATTGTATCGGCTAAATGGGCATGAACGTGCTTTTGATACAAACGTTGGCATAAAAGTTTCCATGTCAATGAAAACTTTCGCAGAAAATCATTTTCAAAGGCAAACAAATATGATGCAACCTGTTCTGAAATGCGTATTAAATCATCGTATCCATTTACAATATCTAGAGGGAAAAAATAACACAGTTAAGTATTTACCAATTAGAGGGACCTTCAATCAATCTTTTAGATAACCAGTGGCAATTTTGGTAAGGTTTTGCATTTACTTACAGTTAATCATTTCCTCAGCCGGTATTTTATTTTGGTCTGGTTCAACGATTTCCAAAAACCCTTCAGCATATGCTTTTACAATACATTCGATATGGAAAGCCAATATTTGTAATAGAAGCAATGGGTTATTCAGCATCAAACTACAAAAACAATACATATGAATGGTTAATGTACAAAAAAATATTTGAAAATTTCTATAAGCACTTACATTGAGCTAAACAAAACGAAAATCATATTGTCCGATAAATACTCATCGTAGATGAAATCTAAATGTTCGCCCTTTTTATGATAGATCACTCCACAAGTAATCCAATAGATTTCTTTATTGCTATCGAGCAGTTTTTCAAATTTATTGTATGCTGTGATGTTTCTGAAATGTAAAAGTAGTTGTATTTAGATAATTATTCCAGCTTTATTATGTGTCTGAATTACTTTAGCATTGGCCCATAGGCTTTAATAAGGACGTCTAGCAACATTACCACCATATGAGCAGCTTTGAATTGTTCCACCATTATATGTATAACAAGTTCACGATATTCCTCACAATTCTTGCATAAACAGAATGTAAAGAATTCATCATCCGGATGGGTAACGATAATATTGGAAACATCCTAAAATAGTATAGATAATCAGAACATCATTAGTGTCTAGGTGTTTTACAGTCATTTTTGTTATAATTTATCAGCAATGTTCTCATAAAAATAACTGCAAAAACGTACAATTGGTGTTTAAAATTAATTTCTTAAAATGATTCTTACGAGTGTGGTTGACTCCGCAATCGATATATATTAGACGTATTGACGCCTAATTTTATTTTTCCCATAAATTTTTGGAAATAATAATTAACTTTTATTTTTACTCCTAATCTTGCCATGCCTTGGTTTTAATGTTCATATTATAACAATTTATGTTAAAAGGTCATCTATTGTAATACTTATCGGAATACGTGTTTAAAAGCATGGATCGTAATTGATGTATTCTAAAGATAAATTTATTCTTTATTGATTTTTGTTAATAAGCACAGATTTTCTTTCATCCATTGACCCAATTTTACCAATGGTGCGTCTCGAACCTTTCGTTGGCCAACGTTTCCACAAGACAACAATTAATTCCAGAGCTTATTTCTCATTCCACAAATTGTTCATACACACTATGTTTAGTTATTATATAAGGATTAATGCTACATTATTTCGACCAAAAGAAAAAATTAAAAAAATCAGACATTAGTCTTCTTTTCTTGCCTTGATTGAAGACAATGGTTTTTGACAGCAAGAGAAGCTGTGTTACCTTGTACCAATTTTAGTGCACACTCCAGTCAATATAACTTTTGAAATTTGAGAATACGAGATTGTTACAGAAAAGTTGTAGTTGCCTCGCTATATTAATGACCTGTCTTAGCTAAGAGAGAATGCACTGTATCAGCTGAATTAATGATGGTTGTAAATATAATTTGGCCAAACTCAATAAGTGGGCCAGCATTCTCAATTTTTTTATTTAAATTGATAGGTTCAACTTTCTGCTGGATATATTTTCAACCAATCTTTTATGCACCACCAGGCAAACTACAGTTTCTGCTGAACTTTTTAAGAACCTTTTTTTAGTTTTTGTGTTTATACATTTTAGTGATATTGCCTTACTCTGAAAAAATATATTAAATTAATTTAGATAGAAAAATTCAAGCTCAACCCTAATATTATTATGTTTTTCAAACCATTGAAAGCTTAAACTGGACTACAATAGAACCCTACTGTTGCAGTATCGGTTGAGGATCCAATGTTGCCTTCAGTCGTTCCAATTATTGCACACAACGTTCTAATCGAGACCAATAGAAAACATTGAATTACTTTCAGTTAATAAATAGGAATGACAGATTTTTGCACTATGCCGAAATATTTTAACTAAATGCATAAAATAACAAATTGATGGGTACCTTAGTAATTCTTGATTATTGCACCTTTACAAACATTAAACACATTTACTTAAATTTTTGGCAATTAAAAAATGTATTGCAAACATATATATAGTTGATTTCGTTGAAATTGTTGAAATTAATTATGCCGGTATCATGTCGGTTTGTAATGTTACAACTTTTTTAACTTACCATAAAGGGATTTAATCGACTATACATCTTGCCTTCCTGGCTCATCGACGAAAACTCGAGGATTTTTCGTTTGTCTATGTCCACATTTATTATGTTATCTTCTCGTTGGCTTAGTTCGGATAGCGAAACTATGGATTTGATCACTAATGCTACCAGCTGCTGCGGAGCCAAGGGATCAAACTCTTTGATAGATAAAATCTTGGACAATGCTGTAGGAGGATTTTCATCATCCATAACTGATATGCAATTGCTACCAAATAGTTTGGAAAAGCGCATCGAACACTTATCTGATAGTAAAGATGAACTGCTTCCGGTACTACTACGGCGTCTTGCTGCTGGCGAGAGAGCTTTAGCACCATCATCACCATCAGCCGTTCGCATATGATTACAATTGTAACCACAAGGACCTTCGCCATCACTATGGTAATATATAGATTCAGATTCATGTATGGGCAGTGGTGGTTTGCTACTACTCTGACCATCCGGAATAACCTGGTAATAGTGCGACCGTGGTTTACGGTGTTTTGTTTTCTTTGTTGTTGCTTCTGGCTTAGTAGATGGAGCTTTGCTTGTTACATCTCCAATTTCCTTTGTATCTCCTTCTTCCCCTTTTTCACAAGCCTCCCTTGCATTCCTCATAATTAAAGCCTGCTGTGCTTCGGTTAATAATGCAAATGGATCGAAGTCTTTGTTGTTGCTCAATGCAAGAGGACTCTTCAATTGAACACTTATTTTTTCCACGACGGCGTTGTCATCTTCGTCCGATTCAGATGATGAGGAACTAAAGTGAACGTCTGTTCTGGCCAACAAGCGCTTTGTCTTCAATTTATCCATTAATTCCGGCCGAAGGCGTCTCAGCCTCACTTTGCACATTTTATTTTTCTTTTCCATTGTAACTACGTATTACGACGACCACGACCAATTGGTGGTATGTACCACTCTTTGAATTCTTAAAAAATAGTCACTTCTTTTCTTACTGAAAACTTTATCTGGAATTCATTGAAAAACAGACAGAATGTTTGTTAATCTTCGTTCATTTTTTTTTTCAAAGAAAATAATTTTGCTGTTTGCGCCCCCTTGATTGTTTGGTGGGCTTGCAATTTTTATTTTTTCTTCGCGTTTGCCCCTTTTTTCGTATCTACATTCGCATTTTCACGTATTAGCTTTGACTTCCAAATTCGCTGCAAATTATTTTGTTTTTAACTTGCGCGGTGCAGTTTTCAATTTTCTGCAGCAATTTATCATTCTGATTTACTTTATTAGCCACTTTTCACTCACTTTTTGCTTATTTTGCATTAAAATAACACTTAAAATTTATTTTTTTTCGTATTTGTCTCACAAAAAATTTCCTAAAAGCAGAAAAACAGCTGGTGTCTTTTTTGATCTCCAGAAACCTAAATTTTCGAGTGGAAAGAAGAAGGAAATATAATACATCTCTTTCATTCCAAATCCGTTTTTGATCTATAGAAACCTAACTGGCAAAAACTTACCGCTTAACATTTGCAAAAAAAAATCGATTTCGATACATAAAGTTTGTAGATAATCGAGAAATTCGAAATGGCTTAATTAATTAATTCGACTTAGTGTATGTTTACATAAAAAATTTCTGCACGAGACTGTATAAGATATACCTTATATTTACTGTGAGTTGTCAATTGTCTGGGTTAATCCGGGTGATAAGTTACCGATCACAATTAATTTAAGATATGTTTTATATTTGTTTGTTTTCTTCCAAATGTATATATCTTTAAAAATTATATAACTCTTATTTATGATTCCAACTCTTTCAGAAAATAGTGACATTTTTAATATATTTTAATATTGTTATACCCTCTACCATTCTTCAACTTTGTCATTCCCTTTGTAACTCCTCGAGATACTCATGTCAGACCTAACAATGTATATATATTCTTGATCAGCATAAAATTCTAATGCCATGTTTACGTTAGAACTTTTTGTAGGGTTAACCTACTTTGAGAGGATTTATTTGAAGTAAAAGTAATGGGTATGACAATTTAAATCCAAATCCAGTGGGTTAACCCTCATATATATAAACGTACTATAAGTCGGCTTAGCGATGTCCGCCTGTCAAAGGGCTAAAATTTTGCACACATGTGAATTTGGTTGGTTAAGTTTGTAAATGGGCAATGTCGGCCCACGTTTTCATATATTCGGTACCTCCCAAAAATGACAAAAAAAAAAAACTTATGAAAGAACACGTCTTCATATAGCACCCATATAAGGGTTTCTATTTGAGAAGTATTTTTCTATGGATTTTTTTTTTGGAAATTTTCAAGTTCCTTCAAAGTGGTGGAGGGTTTTTCAATTGCATAATAATTGTATTGATGAAGACATTTTCGAATTTTATGCATTTATTGTTTTTATTGTATTGTACGCTGATTCGACAAAATAGACATGATTCATACTTTGGATTAGATTGAGACCAGAATTTTCTTCCGGTGGGATGTATATATGCCGTTAAACATTATAAGTTTCATTCATATTTCATTTTTTTCTAAAATTTTTCAAATCCTATTAATATTTTTATTTTGCACTTTCAAATCCTATTAATTTTTTTTTTTTGCATTTTCAAATGTAATAACTAATTTTTTCGATAAATGCTCTAATCTGTTAGGGATGGAAAAGATTTATTCGTTGCTCTGATCGGACATGTTTAATCGTTGTTCTGATGGGGCATATTTAATCGTTGTTCTGGGAGTGATTTGAATTGAAAATGAACAATTCAGAATTAATTGGTTTTCCATAGTCACACAACGAATACAGAGAGAATTAAGTGCAGTGACATTTTATGATTCAATGCCATTTCTTGATATTCAATAGGTATACACTTTTTTAATATAAAATTTCACTGCAGAGCAATGTGAACATATTTTTTGCCTAATAGTAGACAAATTCGCTGTTATACTTAACAAAACGCCAAAGGCGATGGAGCGAAAACTTTTTTCGCGGTTAAGACGGTTAACAACGACGCCACATTTGGTAATAGAGTGGTATATTTAATTTTTCCTAAAATTTCCAAAAACATAAGTGCATGTGGTTGTTGTTACGTTTGTTGTACAACAATATTTGGTAATGCTACAACAACATCTGCTAATGCTTAGTTCACATGGCACGTGATTCGCTCTATATGTTTTGTTTGACCATTAATTATGAAATATCTTCTTGAGCGAAAAAAGATTTTTGTTCTTTGTTCTTTTTAAATCACTCTCAGAACTAAAATGTGTGCCATCCCTAACAAATGAGAGCATTTATACAAAAAAGTAAATTATAAAATTTAAAAATTCCAGAAAAGAAAAATTTAATGAAATTTAAAAAAAAATTGGGAAGACTCAAAAGAGGCAATATTTTCAAAATGTTTGTATCGGCAGAAAATATGTTTGACAAGTATCTCTCCAGCAGAATTTAAAAATACAAAAATATTTTCAAAGTGCCAACATTTACACAAAAAGTTGAAAACATGAATGAAAATTGTAAAATGAATGACATAACAAATCTTTGGGAGAAAAACATAATTTCTTCTACTTATATTAGTGAGAATTTCATGTATTTTCGTATAAAAATTCAACAAACAAAATTTTTGAATAAAGTGCAGTGACATTTTGTAATTTAATTCCATTTCTTGATATAAAATAGGTATACACATTTTTGATATAAAATTTCAAAATTGCACCATGTGAATATATTTTTTGCCTAATAGTAGACAAATTCGCTGTTATACTTAACAAAACGCCAATGGTGATGGTGCGAAAACTTTTTTAGTGGTATATTTCATTTTTCATAAAATTTCCAAAAACATAAATGCGTGTGGTTGTTGTTAAGTTTGTTGTACAACAACATTTGTTGCATCTGTCCATTATTTTGGATTTCGGTGCAAGTCCAAATCCACCTACGGCAACGAAAAGAATTAATAGAAAAGAAGTCTTGGAAGAGATGGCTAATGTGGACGTAGGTACCTCCTTTTAGGAATTCATCAATAGAAACACTGGACCCCAGGAATAAATGTTCCGAAAATGTGGTGGAATGATGAGGTGCAGAAATTGTTTACAATAAGGCAGGCGACTGGAGCGAAATATTTTAAGAGCAGAACCCTTCAAGACCTTAGGGCCTACACGGAGGCTGAAGATGCGCTCAGACTAAAGGTACAACAATGTAAGATCCAAAACTTTGACCATATAGCCCATGAGATCTTTTAGAGCACCTCATCCAGACATTTCTGGAGAATCATAAGAAATATAAAAAAAAATGTAAGCAACCCAAAAGTATTAACCACTCTTGGGACGAAGATCAAAAGGGGAAATATTTCGACTTATTAGCTACTGCTTCCAGAAGAAACATCATCCATCAACAAAGTCCTGTTAGGGGCAACCCGAGTTCAATATCTACTGACGACTATGGAGAGGATTTGTCAGAGGAATATATCGATATCTTAAGAGAGGACTCATTGATGGGGTCAGATACTGTGGAAGGATCTGCCGACAACTCCGTGTTAGACATTTCCGAAGAGTTGACTGCTGGATTTGAAGAAGGTCCCTTAAATACTGATATACCAAAAATATCTTTTGAGACATTCCAAAATTTTATTCCATCAAGAAGTCATGCTTCGGCTCCAGGGCAAAACCTGATGTTATATGATTAACTGAAAAACTTATCTTCTCCTAGCCTTCATTAATACTTTATGTGACATTTGGAAAAACGGTAAAATTCCATATGAATAGAGGAATATTAAAATTTCACCAATTCCAAAACAAGGAAAGGACCGCGCTAAAAAGAAAACTATAGGCCGATATGCCTAGAATCAATGATTAAAGATTTGTTACAAAATTTTATAGAATCTAATTATTTGTTCCCAACACGTTCCTATGCATTCAGACCGGGCCATTCGACGTCCATGTGTATAATGACTTAATTAACATGTGTGCCCTGAAATCAAAAGGATATAACGTACTAGGATTCTGTGTAGGTGTCGTTTGTGTCGACATTTTGAGATCTCAATTAGAAAACTTGGGAGTGAACGACGGGATTATCTCATGGATCGCAGACTTCCTCCACAGGGGGAACTTCGTCCTGGGTACTCGCGTCGTAACCGTCAATGGTATCCTGGCTCAAGGAAACGCCTTGAGCCCACTCCTTTTCAATGCATACACAATCCCGTTACATAATATTCAGTCGGAGAACTCTATTTATTTCAATACGCGGATGATTTCTTTTTGCTTGTATTTCATCGAGAGTTTGAGGCCGCCAGTACTTTTCTAATGCCAAGTTTTCGGAGTTCTCATCTCGCTGTAATGAAATTTACCTTCGCTTCAACGTTAGTAAAACATCAGTTATGCACTTTAATAGCCGATTTGAATACTAGTTTTGCAATTTTTTTTCTATATCATAAAGGGGAAATCGGTTATCGTAATATAATCATTTACATTTTTGCAGTTCTGGAGCTTATTAAAATTACAAGAAAGTGAGAAATAGGGTGGACAATAAGAATAGCGACAAATTTTCACACAACACAACCACAAAATGACCAAAGGCAGTCTCCCAAACTTTCCAAATACCTAGATACGAGGATATGTTATTTGTATCGCCGCAATGGATTATTTTACAAGAATTAAAATTTTCCAATATTAAAGGTATATTCATGGTAGAACTCAGAAGGTAAAGTAGTGCAATCATATGTTCACAATTTTTTTCAAAATTATTCATTTGAGAACATCTAATTGTCAAAATTTATATTTATAAATCTCATGGTACAATAAGGAGGTAGAACAGCTTCGTAAAACTACAGAAATACAGCCCTGAGGCTATGCCCGCTTCCTGTCAGAATTATTGAAGATTTTAGGCAACACGTTGTTTTCATTTATTTGATATTAGTTTTTAATTTTCAAAATGAGTCAAATAACGCGAAAGATGAACGAAATGCCTGAATGTTCTCTTATAAATATGATCCTAGTTTGCAATATTTCAGATCCATGGCAAATCTTGTTAATATTATGAATGCGCGCCTCTGCAGTATAAGTTTCTTCCAATCATTGACTTTGAAAATATTTTGTTTTTATTTTTCAAAACAACAAATACATACACAAAATTGACAGTACCCGACACACTTAGAAAATATTGTAATCAGCTGGGAGCTCTACCTTACCTTTTCATTGTACCATGATAAATCTATTGTATACACAGACATCAGAGATGGGAACCAGTTTTTATTCAGGGAAATTTGACAAGGAATATTACAGAAAATGCAGAGATGGATAAGCTTATTTGAAATGACTTTACCTTCTTAGATTTACCACGGATATATTGATTGATGGTACAATGAAATCAAGATTGGACACTGAGACA